TTGTGATGTCAGCACTCAAACCTTTCAGGTATCTAAACCACCTTTGGACCAAAAGAACTTCAGTTGGCTCACTACACTCCACCATCCTGAAATCCAACGTGAGATGGGCAAAACTCCAGAAGCTGCTATAGAAGATGACCTGCTGGAGTGCTAATCTTGAGCTGATGGCCAATTTGACAATGAATGAAGGATATAAAGTACACAGATAAAAACTTACTGACTCAGACATCTTTACAGTGGTGGTGATAGGAACCAGGGGTCACCATGACTACAACATAGATATAGACATATTATTTACTATCCAGAACCACCACTGAATCTACATGAGTCTTCTGAGCTCTAATATGGAATGTGGATGATGGTAAAATAGTGGAATAAGTTTTGGACAACTCCTTGCACTTACCTCTGAACCAAGAATGAACAGGATGTTTTGGGCCAAAGCATTAGCATAAAAATCACAACACAATGCCTCAGGTACCAGGCAGTGAATTCATAACCATTCCATACAATAACTTTCTGTGAGGGAGCTTTTAGAGGTGGACGTCTGGTTCCTATCACCACCACTGTGAACAATTCTGACTCTGTAAGATTCTCTAGAACCGAGCATGCACATTCTGTGCATTTTCATGCTCAATTTACTGTTTCTTTGCTAAATTTAACATATTGGGAGAAAAATAGCACAAAATATGGTTTTATTTTTTATTTCATTATCTATATACACCGATCAGGCTTAACATTATGACCACCTCCTTGTTTCTACGCTCATTGTCCATTTTATCAGCTCCACTTACTATATAGGTGCACTTTGTAGTTCTACAATTACAGACTGTAGTCCATCTTTTACCCTGTTCTTCAGTGGTCAGGACCCCCATGGACCCTCACAGAGCAGGTACTATTTGGGTGGTGGATCATTCTCAGCACTGCAGTAACACTGACGTGGTGGTGGTGTGTTAGTGTGTGTTGTGCTGGTCTGAGTGGATCAGACACAGCAGTGCTGCTGGAGTTTTTAAACACCTCAGTGTCACTGCTGGACTGAGAATAGTCCACCAACCAAAAACATCCAGCCAACAGCGTCCTGTGGGCAGCGTCCTGTGACCACTGATGAAGGACTGGAGGATGACCAACACAAACTGTGCAGCAGCAGATGAGCTATTGTCTCTGGCTTTACATCTACAAGGTGGACTGACAAGGTAGGAGTGTCTAATAGAGTGGACAGTGAGTGGACACAGTGTTTAAAAACTCCAGCAGCACTGCCGTGTCTGATCCACTCAGACCAGCACAACAAAAATTAGAGCTAAATTTAGTCTTAGGTGGAAATTTGGTCAAAAATAATCACCCATGGTGTTCATGGCTTGAATCTCATGGACAAAGCTTGAGAGAGCTGTGGTCATTATTAGAAACTCAATGGGGAAGCATGTCCCATGGTTTTTCTTACCCATGCTAAGCAGTTTAGCTCCAGCAGTTCGTCTTCCTCCCTCATTGGTAAGTAGGTACAATCCACTTGTGGGTGAAATCCCAGATCTGTCAATGAAGTGTTTTCTCGGTACAGCTTAACGAGCATTAGAGTCTGCAGAGACAACACTTGATTAGCTTAGCACGTCCAAAGATCTGGCCTTCTCAGAGCTGAGACGAGTGCGAGCGAAAATAGCTTGTCTGATTCTCGGGTCTTGTCCAAGAAGGGATCTTGATGCTGGTTCCTCAGAGGTCAAAATGCTGTCATCGTCAATTAATTCTTTATTGTTAGACCATTATTTCTTTCAGTATCCAGGAGCTCCGTTAGAGACGTGGACAAATGAGAACGAAAGCCCATTCATGCAGCATATAAAAATGTCAAAAGTCAAGTACACGTCTCATATTTCTGTTATCTCTTTCCGCCAGCGACAAGGGCAGAGAAAGACATCTCTATAGGTTCTAGTGGATGTTCATATTTTCCTGGTGGTTTATAAGAGCAGTTCTACAGTGGCTGTTTACCCTGATGGCTCCACACAGCTAAACTCATTACATCCTGATGGTAATCAGCTAGCATTAAATAATTCTCTGCTGATTTGACTGAGTTTGACTGCAGGCAGGGACAATTTGATGGATATGGCCTGTATTTGAGTTCAATGATGTTTTTTTTTAAATTTTGTATAATGGTGGATTTAGAGCTAAAACAGGGAAATTATTTCTGATTTTATGTTCATCAGTGTGCTTGTTTAACCCTTTAAAACCTTCTTCTCAAGGCAGCCCAGTGTGATTTGCAGTTATGATTCAGTGACTAATCAAAACTTCATTATGTTAAATTTAGTTGTGCTGCTGAAAGAGATTAACAAATCTATGTGATGGCTGGAGGCGTTCAGGAGAAACATGCATTATGGTGTATTTACTAGCAATAAAAAATATCTTATTGCAAAAATAATGGGTTTTAAAAATGGGTTTATATATATATATGTATGTATATATAACTGGACACTTTATCAGAAACACCTACCTTGTACTTCTGCACACTGGACACTTTATTAGAAACACCGACCTCGAACTTATGCTCACTGGACACTTTATTAGAAACACCGACCTTGAACGTACGCTCACTGGACACTTTATTAGAAACATCTACCTTGTACTTCCACTCACATGGTCATTTTATGTACTCCACCTACCTTATAGATTCACAATATAGGAGTACAGTTGAGTACAACCTATGCATCACTAGTCAGGACAACTGCTGACCACTGTTAGGGACTTTAAGCATGGACAACAGTGGGGATGCTACAGCAAAATTCACTGATCAATAAATCTAACATGATGGTGAAAACAGACTGCTTGATAATCTGGTAACATTTGAAGGCTACCTACATAAGAACTTCATAGCACATGCATAACCATTGAATAGGATGTTTATAGAGCAATGTTTAAATATTTATCAACAGTTTATAGCAGTAATCGCAAGATGACCATGTTTTATGAAGTAAATGACATTTTAATAATGTAAGGGGCCTTAAAATAATTTGACAGATGTTTATACTATTTATAACACCTTAATGAAGCATTTTTCCCAAGTAATGTAACTTATAAGGCACTAATAAGGACTAATTCAGCAGTCTGTATATCAGCTCTGTATATTTCTAATTTCTAAATGTTCTTTTTTTTCCCTAAGTCTGCAGCCACATATCTCCTTAAACTTACACTTGTTTATCAAAATAACATATTTTACTGAGGGTATTGCTGTTTTTGAAAATTATTAATTTAGTGATGCTGTTATGAAATAGCTCACTTCCAGGTAATGTACAATATAAGACAGAGGCCAAATTAAGAGCTCCACATACCATTTGTATGTAAGACTTTGATGCCCTCAATCTTAAGTGATTTTTCTCTGCTGTAAGTTTTAGCTCAGCTATCGCCACTTTTCACGCATCTCCGACAGGAAACGTTTTCACAAAAGTGGAATAGTTTCCTGTAAAATGTCTCTCAATGTTTCATTTTTTACAAGGCTGAAGTTTCTCATTCACCAGCTTCTTTTTTAAAATTTTCCCACTCCACCTTAAATAGTTTCATACCTTTTAAGGTGAAATGTGAAAATTCAAATAAGAATCTAGCGAATGAGAAACTTCAGCCTCATGACTTTTGTAGTGTTTGACAGTTTCTTGTTGCTGATTACATGTATCAGGAATCCAGCTGGCGTGACTACAAATGCAAATAAGTCCATTCATCTCTAAACTATCAATGTTTGTCTTAAATCTTTCTCTTTACCTTTTCGTTAGCTACTAGTTGTCTGCGTTGCTATGGTGACCAGCAGTCTGCACACCAATCTTCAGGATTAAAGGGTAAATTAGCAGTTCTATATTAACTCCAGCGTTTAAGACCATTTATTGTTAAAAATGTGTTGGAATGATTATCAGAGCTTTATTTTACTGCAAAGGAGGATTATTTTATTTTTACATTTTAATCTAATTCTGCTGCGGAGACGCAACAGGGCAGTAAAAAAGCCGCTTGTTGCTGACCCCTGGTCTATTCTTAAGAAAATGTAGAAATACTTTTAGTAAAATGTAAAAGCCACTTCCAAGTAGACATACATAGAACTAGTCCTCTGCCTTTCTTAGTCCTCTAACTTTCATTTTAAGAGCCCTTATGTTGGTGTGTATATATATATATATATATATATATATATATATATATATATATATTTAATATGTACTCTTCTATGCTTAAGCATGTATTATGAAGTCCATATGTAAGTGTTACCAGATTGCTGAACAATTTCTTCCACCATCATGTTAGATTTATTGCTTACTGACTTTGGTTTCATCACGGCTATCAACAGCAGTCAACAGCAGTCCTGTGGTCAGAAAGTGAACAATGATGCATAGAGTATATTGTAGATCATGAGTATCTACTCCCTTATCCCTCCCTCTTTTCCAACAGCACAGGATGGGACATCTCTTGATGGGCTCCTTGACAGGATGGTACAGGAAGATTGGCTTCATTTCCTAATTAAGCACTAGACCTGTAGACTATTTTCCTGTTAAATTTACCTCAACTTTTTGGCATCTGTCAGTAAAACAAGAAAGAAATGAAAACATAATGTCTTTCTTTTTTGCACGTGTTGACATTTTTAATATATTGCTGGGGCCATTAAATCCTGATGAAAAAGAGCTAATAGACCCCATTAAGCCTATTTCTAATTAAGGTCCATTATGTAAAGTCATCAGGATACTATTATAAAAACCTTCCTAATGGACAGAATGTTGTTCTACAACCAAATCAAACAAAAGGTTTGAAATGATTTAATTCCAGAATTAAATCAAAATGTAAATGCACAAAAAAGTTCCTTGTGTTGTCTAGTGGACTAATACAGCTTTTTACCTGATGCGTTTTAAAAGCTGTAGGCCGCTGGAAAATGGATTATGAACTAAACTGAGGTTTATCCCCTAGAGGAGCCACTTGAAACTGAATGTGGACGGATGTGCAAGGTCGGATCAGAGAGAGAGAGAGAGAGATGGAGATGGAGAGGGAGAGGGAGAGGGAAAGGGAAAGGGGAGGAGGGACCTGATGAAAGACAAGAGCGCAGAAACAAATCGGGCTCCTCCAGCTGTGCGCTGCTTTTGCTCCTTTTCCTTCACGAAGAGATTACACTGGGCTGTGCAGGAACACTCAGTGAGATGCTACCGCTGTAAAAGAGGAGCGATGGCATACAGAAAAGAGAAAAAGGAAAGAAGTCCACTGTGATGCACTTGACTCTGGGCTTTTCCACATTTTTGGAGAGAACTCTGGTCCTCTTTGGGCTTTCCTGAAGAGAACTCCTGTTGCCTTTGTTGATTTCAGACAGAAATCGCCTCCCTTTTCGAGGGAACTCTTTTTTTTTCCAAAGGTTCTGTCATTTTTTGTGGTTCTTTGGAGAGAATTCTTATTGTCTTTGGACTTTTTGGATAAAACTGTCCCATTCTTGATTCATTTGGACAGCACTCCTGATTCCTTTTTCACTTTTTCCTGTCCCTTTTGGGCAATTTTGGGTAACTGCTATCCTCTTTTCTCTTTTCCGGAAAAAAAAAAAATCTCCTGTCTTGTTTGAGCTTGTTTGGATAGCACCTGTGGGTTTATGGAGACTGCTCCTGTTCCCATTCGGATTTTTTGAAAAGAAGTCTTGTACCATTCTTGTACTTTTTTTTAGAAAAACTCCTGTTCCTTTGGCTACTCTGAGAAAGAGTCCTGTACCCTCTTCACTTTGAGGACTCCTGTACTCTCTTAACTTTTTTGGAGAAAACTCCTGTTCTCTTTAGGTTCTTTGAAGAGGACTCCTTCACCCCCTTCACTTTTTTTGGAGAAAGCTCCTGCTCCCTTTCTTGCCTTCTTAAAGATAACTCCTGTTCCCTTTGAACATTTTTGGAGATAACTCCCATCCTGTACCCCGTGTACCTTCGTGGGCTCTGGCTTGGCTCGGCATGAGTGCGGAGTGCACAGCTTACTACAGTGCTGAGAACGTGTTCGTGAGCGCCTTCAGCTGCCCCAAAGCGGACGGGGACGCCCGTTCCATCTTCTGCTGCGGCTTCAATGATGTCAAATACTGCTGTGATGACCCCAACAGCTTCTTCCCCTACGAGTATGGCTACATGTGGTGGCTGAGGTGAGTCCCAGGCAAAGTGACCCTTCATGTTAAAAGTGCATAAAGATTCGAGCAGTTGCATGAGACTTGATCACTGATGTTTGTGATACTCTGCATGTTTGGGAAATTCTGTGTGCGGCTACATCAGGTTACTTGCTGGGAATTTGGCTTTTTCTAGAAGTGGCCACGCTGGAAACATGATGATTTTTTTGTGCACATCACTTTTGGGTCCCTAAAAACTTTTCACTAGGTGGTTATTTAGTGAATGAAATGAAAAGTGTGTAGAACTTTTTGAAAATGTGAAGAACCTCCTTTTAATGTAAAGACTCTAGAAATAACTTTTAAACTTTTAAAATTTTAGGCTTATTGCATATCACACTACAAAAGATGGCTCTTCAGGGGTTCTTTAGTAAAGAAAATGGCTATACATAGAACCGTGAACACTCAACACTTTTGCATGATTAAAGGGTTCTTTGCATGGTGAACAGGTTCTTGAGACTGATGGAGAATGTCCTATACACAGTTCTATGTAGAACCTTTTGAAAAGGGTTCTATAAACCTCTCAAAAAGGCTCTTCTATTGTTACAAGGTTGACACTGTAACAATACAAGAACCCTTTTGGGTGCTATATAGAACCCTTTTCTCTATACAGAACCATCTATAGCACATTCATGCATGTTTTCCACCGATCTGAAGAACCCTTTCACGATGCAAAGAACCCTTTAATCATGCAAAGGTTCTACATAGAACCATTTTCTTTACTAAAGAACCCTTGAAGCACCTCCTTTTTTAGGAGGGTAAAGCTTATTATTCAGCAACTATAGTTCTAACTGGCTGAGTTATTCTTAGGTTATAGAAGTGTGTAATAAAACTTTGGGCCCATTGATGGGCACCGGCCATTCAAGGGGTTCAATGGGTATAGAACCTTTACATTGTGCGAAGGTTTTTCAAACCTTCAAAAAGTTCTTCACACTCACAAATCTATTTTTCAAACATGGTTTTTCAAACAAGCTGGACCCAAATTAAGTATGTATGTGTTTATTTGATGACCTGTGACCTGTTCAGGGTTTTTCCTGCCTTCCACCCAACGAGGACTGTGATTGGCTCCAGCACCTCTTTACAACCCTGGAGGATAAGTGGTGTAGATGATGAGTGAGAAAGAGAGAGAGTGTTTATTCGATTCTGTAGGTTTCAATTTAACACTGATTTTGCAGTGTATTTACTCTGTACATTAGATAAAGTTCTGCATTTGTTCTTTAGATACATTGTTCTGCATATTGTGAAGGTTTTTGTGTTCAGCTGAGGGGTGATTCTGACCATTTCAGTCAAGTTACACCCAGGCATACCTGGGTAAAATTCAACAGATCTTTCAAATTTGACTGCACAATACAGTCACTGTCAATACAGTTATTCAGAGTGGTTTGATGTGAAGTGGTTCATTGTAGAGAAACTTACTGGGTTGGATTTCTTTACAAGACAGGAACTAGGGATCACCATGTCTACAACATAAATATAGACATTTTATTGACTATTCAAAACCACAAGTAAAGCTACATGTGTGACAAGCTTTCTCCGAGAACTATTGTGCCTTAACATGCCCTGAAAGTACTTCTCTGCCATGAGTGGGCTTTTAAAAATACATTTTAGTTCAAAATCTAATCTCAAAACTATTGGAAAACAGTGAGTGCATTTACATGACCTCAATGATCCAATCACTGATCAGATTTGGTCAATGCATTTGAGCAATGCATTTACATGCGCTTGAGTAATCAGATAATGTGAAAAGTCCGGGTCTACATGAGTCAGGCAGTAATTGGATTTATGCTTTTCAACCAGCCAAAAATCAAAGAAGAATATGTAATGAAATGTAATGTAAACAGCTTTTTTAAAAAAACATTGAGTCACTTTACTGGAAAATATGAACATACATCATCTAGAAGATGAAGAAAATTTAAATCCTTCATTTTGTCAAGCATGTATTTGTTTTCAGAGTCACTCCAAAAGTGTTTTGCTGCCATCTTCTGGCAACGCTGCTTGCTTATTTTCGGTACCGCTGTCTGTTTTCACACATGTGCAGACTGAGAAATCCGAAAGAGTTTACATGCACTGAGAAATCTGATTACTGAGCTAAAATTCAGCTCTCTTTATCAGATTTCTTAATCAGATTTCTAGATCTTACTCCGATCTAACAAATAGTAATGCACTGTTTATATGACCATTTGAATTGTGAGATAATGCAGAAATCTGATTATGATCAGATTATTGGTGCATGTAAATGCACTTAATGCCTGAATCTTCCAGTTACCCTAGATTTTTGTAAATAAATACATCAATAAACTTCTCTCAGTTCACTCCAACTATATCCTGGTCTTAATTAAGCTGGTTTAGGAGACAGTATGACTTGAATTATGAATGAATTTTGAATAATTAAAGTGAACAAAAAAGCAAAACGATCATTTCAATTATGGTTTTAACAAGCCTTCATCCACTTGGCCTTGCAATTTCCCCTTTCAGGAATCCCAGACACTACTTTCCATTACTGTATTAGCTCAAATGGATATTATTAGATGATCCCTTGGAGTGGAAAAATATCGAGTGAACACAAGTGTCAAGTTCAGCAGAACTTACCCAGAAATCATTGCGAACTGATGCATTTCCTTTTTCAAACCTGAAAACAATGGTGGCCAGAGCAGTCACCAGAGTAGTACTTCCAAGCCAGAACATTCAGTTTGCTGTGCTTTAGGTTGCAGACTGCTCCATCTATTATACATGACTGTTGATACAACTTCAACAACAAAAGGCACTTCTCCATAGTTCTAAACCAAAGTTTATAGCCAGAAAAAGCAATTATTCACGATTCCTTTGTACATGTTTATGTTTAAACTTTTCCACATTGACAAGTGTGCACAAGACCTGGATGTGGTTTGAGCAGGCTGAGAGAAGTTTTAGAGATATATTTAAAAAAAAAGATTTGGGTGACTATTGACTTCTAGTATTTATTAGCAACATTATAGTGCTCCAGCACTAAACTCTAGAAGCAGAATTTGAACACCAAACATATCTTTGCTGATCGACTACATTTGGGGTAAAGGGAAACTCATATACATCTGATTTTTCACCAAACCTGGATGCTGGACGCTCCAGAACTGCACTCAGTGCAGATGTCTTAAATATTCTTTGCAATGTGTCAAGGTTATTCAGAATCATACAGAATGGCAAATATGCCTGAAGTGGGAATATAACTCTGAAGCACTATGTAAAGGAGAAGAAAGCTCAGTAACGTTTCTCACTTATTCAAGAATGAAACAGCACCATGAAAAACTTTTCTAAGCTTAGGTGAAGGGAATATATGGGGTTTAGGGGTATGAATTCTACTTCAATGGGTTCTGATCTACAGAGTATTTTATAAAAATTCTTCCACTGTGTAAGGTTTTCCCAGCAAGCGTCTGCCAAAAAACTTCAAAATAGTTTTTTGCAGGAAAAAGTTTAATGCTTATGAAGTATACCTACATTAAAATAGTTTTTTTGTGACTGTGCACTTGTATATAAATGCTTTTTGTATCATTATATGTGTTTTGCAGGATTATTAATGCATATTACATCGGCTATGTTTACATGCAAAGATCTTTGCCAATCTGATTGAACACATTCCGATTATAGATTGAGGTTGAGGTGTTTATGCTCACTCTACTCAACAGTGTGATGAAAAATCTCTGTTTACATGTGCACTACAAGAAGTCCGATCCAAAATTATGCACATATTTAGAGAACCACTTAGTGTAGACGTTACCATGACAACAAGCATCACATGAGTCCAGTCAGAGTGAGACGAGCAGCACTTGTGTTTTTAATTACTTTAAAATGATGTCAGACTCAGGAAAACATTCTTCACATTGTTCTTATTCTTATTAAAGAAGGCCGAGAGGAGACGTCGTGTTCTGAGACACATAAGCTGGACGTCCGTCCCACTGCCATCTTTTAAAGATCAGAGCATAAACTTTGTCTCCTCTGCAGACCAGTTTCTGCTCCGCCATGTTGAACGGTATAAACTTTCACTATGACGTGATGAACATGATCAGAATGGACTTAAACTTTCCGATAGGGAATGTAATCAGATACAGGCGTTTACACGGATATTATTCTTCTATTTAATGGATTATTTACAGGATTACCCACCTCGTTCAATTGGGATGAAATTGCCTTCTGAATAGCCTCAATCTGACTATTCTATGACACACCTCTGATTAAGCTATTAGTTGGATTAGTTACAGATTATCAGGCTGCATGTAAACATGGTTAATCAAACACGTAATTGTGGAAAATTGATTTCTTGCCAATTCTGATAATATGGTCACCCAAAGCAATGATCTTTAAGTCTGATCCCAAAATCCTCAAGTGATTTCCTTGTTAAACTTGCACTGAATGGCCTATAATTATAAAGCTTCTCGATTTAAGAACACTGATCTCAGATCAGGTTTCATGTATGTAGTCCTAATCAGTGTTATGTAAAAAGAGTAAACTGATCCCAAATCTCTCTAAGAAGTTTGACAAATATGGGCCAATATTTGTAGCAGTCAAAATCTCTGGGGCGCTGCTCTGTTTAAGCTCATCCAGATGATGATGTTTTGCAGCCATATTTGTGACTCATATGTATTTTGTAGTTGGTGGGAATAATTGTATCTCTATTAAAAAGTCATTTCAGTCATAATGACCATAACTTCAGTTATCAATTGTCTATCTTGGGCAGTTCACTGGAGTCTCCAGTCAATGCCCTAAATGCAAATGCTAATTAGCTAATGCTAATAGATTGTACATTATGTTGAAACTTTTCCACATTGACAAGTCTGCACAAGACCTGGATGTGGTTTGAGCAGGCTGAGAGAAGTTTTGGGTGACTATTGACATTTAGCTTTAGCAACATTAGCCTCATAGTATTTGTTAGCAATGTTAGCCTCACAGTATTCAATAGCAATGTTAGCCTCATAGTAGAAATTGAACACCAAACATATCTGGGCTGATTGACTACATTTGGGGTAAGTGGAAACTTGTATACATTTGATTTACAGTTGGGCTGCTGAATAGTGCAACTCCATCAAGTGTTTGGCATATCCTTGGTGATGCCACAGCCATCTATGGCTGGGAATCCAAGACACCAATAGAGTGAGTGTGATCTGAATAATCTGCTGTATTAGTGGTTATCAGTCCTGTTCTTGAAGTGCCACTGCAATGCATAGTTTAGCATTTCTCCAGCTTTAACACATTCAGTTTAACTCAGGAAGAGCTTCTTTATAGCGGCAGTGTTGCAGTCATGTCTCTTAGGCCTCATCCACAGGTATAGAGATATTTTAAGTAATATAGATTTTTCCTCATTTTCAGGCTTTTTGTATCGAACATGCAGAACTCTGTCTGAAATACTGCTGATGACTGGAATGTTTCTGTGTGCTCCACAATTTCTGGGTTAGTTGGGGGTGAAAACATGGTAGAATAACTAAATTTAGCATTACTTTTACAGTAAATGGCAGTGCAGAGTCATTACAAAGTACTGCACATGATTCTTTTTGAACAAGGTTGCAACTTGAAATCCCATTTCACCCCTACCACTCAGTCCTAACCCTCCATTTTGCGCATTCACGTCTAGGGGTAGGGTGTCCCGATTTTTGTTGAGATAGTGGGGTAGGGCTACATGGCCCTCCAAACGGAGGTTTTTCAGAGGCACACTCCAAATGGAGTGTTATAAGAAAAAAAAGAAAAAGCCAGCAAGATGGCTGCACAAAGAAAACCCAGAAAATTGTACTGTCTTAGTTTGTCATTTCAATGTATTATGTTTTTTTCTTCATAACACGCATAAAAAATCACTAGTAGTATGCTAATGTCTCGGTAGCTAGCTAGCTAAATTTCCTGTTCCACATTAGTCCAGCAGTACCGATGCCGGAGGCACCATAATGTAACTGCTGCTCCGTTTATGGTAGAACGGGAAAATTCAAACAAGAAGCTGGCAAATAGCTGACTTCAGCTGATAATAAATAATTGTCCCCCCTCTTTGAAGGCATACGATGCCCAAAATGTAACTAAAGCCCAGCAGTGAGGAGCTGAACTTTACCCTCCTCTGCTATCACTGCAGACTGGCAGTGTCACCTACAGGGCAGCACTAGTAGCTGTTAATGAAGTAATGCTATTTTTATTTGAGGGTCCCATTTCATAGAGGAAGATTTCAACCACTACCTCAGCAACTCAGTTCCTAGCGACAAAGTGACACTCGAAAACAAGGGTAAGGGTTAAAAATAAGAAATGGTTCTGGGCCAGAGACTAACTCTGTGTCGATGCTTCAGAGACAGTGGTATAGCCACAACCCCATGGCAGCAAGTGGTAAGCTTTCTTTGTTTTTTACAGCTTTTATTTTCTGGCAGAAATCGGATTTTGAATCTGTGTGAAGTGTCTGAAATGCAGATGTCTGTTAGTGCCTACTGACTTTATAACACACTGCTACCACTTTGTTAGAAAGTCCCAGCTTCACACTCTACACTTTTCCCAACATGCATGTTCATGATGTTCTTCTTGAGGTGCATGACACCAAATTTTATGAGGTATTATCACTTTTTGCTTATCTGTTTTTGAGTTGTTTTGCATTCTCAAGCGGACAGAGAGATTTTCAAAAACAATATTGGTAGTTTTTGAAAATCTGTGAATCTATGAATGTTTTTATATATATATATATATATATACACACACACACACACACACACACACACACACACATATATATATATATATATATATATTTTTTTTTTTGCATGTCTGTAGGTGTAGTTTTTTTAGTTGTTGTTGTTGTTGTGTAATCGAGCTAACATTAGCAGAGAGGTAAACTTATTGTTGTTTCGATCCAGGTTTTGATAAGATACCAGAACATAGTCCTGCTCTGTAACACGGTTGGAGCTGGAGTCAACATTGTTCAACCTCACAACAGTTCCTATATATATATATAAAGCATATGCTAGAATATGAAGTAAATATTTGTTCGTAATGGAACCTAACATGAAGGGAGCCTAAATAAGAGCACCACATATCAGTTTTATTACAGATGTTGGTGCATTAATCAGTCTATATACACACACATGTAGATAGGTAGAAAAACCATGCATCTTCATTTTTATCGATTTTCAGTTTTCTACATCATTTCAACACACCAACTGTCCTTTACATTGTGTGAAAATTTCACGGTGAATGAACCAATAGAAATGCTCTAACATCACTTGGAATAAAATCTCTTTACATTGTCTTACATTGAAAGGTAAGAGGGTTTTTGCCTTCTCCTGTAAAGTTACCATTTTAGAGACACATGTTTTTCTTTGGACCGCAACAAAATATAAATATATGTATTCCCAACTGTACTTCAGCAGAAGCAGAAAGTGTCTTATATAAAAGTACAAAATGTCAAATGTACGTGTCCTGTCAGTACTTACAGTTATTATGTTATATTATTTTGATGAACATTTTCTATTGAAAAGGTCTGAGTGGCTGCAGAGATGAAAAGTTAGTTATTCATGTCTTATTCATATTTTATTTAGTGTTTATGCATGCATTATAAAGTCCCTGTGTACTTAGCCTTCAAATAAAGTGTTACCAAATAAAATGTTACTGTTATATTTGTGCTTATGTTAGCTAGTTGCCTACATGCTATGTACAAACTTTACCTCTCTCGCTCTCTCTCTCTCTCAGTGTGGGCGCTTTGGTCGGTTTGTCCATAGCTGGAGTAGTTCTGCTGGCCTTTATCATCACTATCTGTGTGCTCTGTTACCTTTTCATCGCCACCAAACCCAGAGGACTGGACAATGGCCTGCCTCTCCAGGCACAAGGTAGGCAATTTCACGACTTCATACATAAGTCACAATTCATTTATTTAACAAAACTGCCATTCAATAAAAGTTATGAATCTTTCTGGAGATTTTTCTGATGAGATTAGATATAAGATAATCCACTTGAATAAAGAAACTGGAGCTCAAAAATGATTAAAAGCTACAGAGCAAATGAGCCTCTTAACAACCACCTGGAAGACCTGGTAGACCCCAAAACTGCCCCCATCAGATAAACAGCACTTAAAGCTTTCATCTCTGAGAGAGAGGAGAAAATCAAGCTGCGTCAGATCTGAAAACATCCACAGGTGTTTCTGTCCATCCTTCCACTGTGAGAAGACGACTCAGCGCTGTGGGTCTGAAAGGATGTGTAGCTGTCAAGAAGAACCTCACTGAGAAAAGGAAGTAGAAAAAATGAACTAGAACACCGAAACTGGACATCTGAGATGTGGAGTTAGGTTTTCTAGACTGACATTTCCAAATATGTCATTTGGATCATGAGAAGCTGAAAATGCAACCAACTTCTATGACTGAACTTTGCAAGTGTGGAAAAATATCCTTGCAGGTTTCATTGAAAAACTGAAAGCAAGTCAAAGGACACATTAAGTACTGAAAGAAATGGTATTACATTTAGTTGTTGAGACTCATCTGTAGTTTTCTGTTAAATGTTTTCTTTTTTTCCTGATGCTGAAAAATTTTAAAAAATGAAGGATGATCTCTGACTTTTACGCAGTGCTGTAGAACATCGTCATCACTCAAAATGTACATGAAAGCTTAGCATAGATAAATTAGATCAAATGAAAAATACAACTTAAACCATCTACAGTAATGTTTTCATTCATTCTTTTGTTCGGCCATGACTCTACTGATGAAGCTGGCCAAACAAACGGATGAATGCTCTTCAGAGCGTTCAGCAATTACCTCACAGATTCTTCAGACCTACGAAAAAGCGCTGGCTGCCAGCTACTGTTTCATAGTCATTAAGCAATAGCAACACTCAAAAAATCAGTCATGCTATGAACTTAGTTCACTTATGCCACACATTTCTACTCACTTTTAAGTCAGTGCTTAACTTTGTTACCTTAATATAAAGTACAATAGAAAATAATGACATATTTTTCAGTGCTTATGTTGAACAGCCACCTTTTTGCTAATTATAAGCTTCGGTGTTATTCTATGGAAGTATCCATGTAACTATCCTAAGAGGGGTTTTCTAACCCTGGTTCCATAGGGAAGCGTATCTATGTTTCCAGGGTTTTATATCCTCTCAGATCTTTATATGATACCTCATACCTCCATACGATACGTAAAGATAACCTATGAAAGCATTCTTATAGTCATTGTTAGGGTCATGGGGACATCAAAGGTCATATAGCAGACAAGAAGAGGTGCACTGCTTAATAGGAACGCACTTGTCCTCGGCTAGTTCAGCCTCAGCGATGGGAATATGTACATCTGTAAATATATGAGGTTTGGACGTTGGTCTTATTTTATATGGAGACAACATGGAGACTTTTCCACGGAAACTGGACTGAGACAACATTGGCTTGAAACTTAGAGAGTTGTTCCTTAAAAATGACAAAGAGGAATCATAGGGCATTGGAATTTTTTTTTCCTAAAATTACAAAAAGGGATTATAGGACTCTTGTGAATGTGGGAACTGTTCCAAAATTATACAGATGAAACATAGGCTACTGGGAATATAGTTTTTTTCTTTCCCCTAACATAACAAAGAGACATTATAGGACCTTAGGAATATAGATTTTTCCAAAATTACGAAGAGGAATCATTGGGCCCTGATAATATATGTATATTTTTTCCAGTATCACACAGAAGAAACATAGGCTCTTTGAAATATATGATTTTCCCCAAATTTACAAAGAGGGAGCAAAGTGCCCTGGGAATATAGGAGTTTTCCAAAATTGCAAAAAGGACACAGGGCCCTTGGAATGTAGTGGACCCTTTTGGACCCTAAGCATATTGGATTTTTTTTTCCAAATTTACAAAAGATAGAAAAGATAGCAAACATAGTTTTTACCCAAGAAATTACAAAGAGGAAAGATAGGGCTCTGGGAATATAAGGTTACTTCCAAAGTTGCAAAGAGATAACATAGGGCAAATGAAGAAGGCTGTTTTAACAAACCTGATCCAACTAATCCATTAATTTGCAGCCCCTATGGTTGAAATAGTGTGGTAAAGCTGGGAAAATGCTTTAGAGCGAAGGATGTGGGGGCTCCAGGACCAGGGTTGGGAACATGTGTTCTATAGCTTAGATAGGGCAACAGTACCTTAGCCAAACATAAAGAGTGTTGCTCTACTGTGACTCAACGCACCTAAATAAAATTATAATCACTTTCTAAACACAAAAGATCTTTAAAAAACATTCACATACAGGTAATCACACATACATAAACTACAGGAACAACAAACAAAAAGCTTTATAATATGTGAAGGGGTCAGGAAATTGAATGTTCAGTACTAATCTCTGTTGACGACAACAACAACACAGTGGTTCTCTACATGGTAAAGCTATGAGTCAAAGACATGCTGAAATGGTTAGTGTTTCAGAGAAACTGTTTTCTTCAAACCAATCAACTCAAAATGGAACATTTTGAGAGTGGTACAGTGCGCTCAAGCTGGAATTGGACACTCAGTATAACTAGATAACTACTGAGCTACGGTACTCTTCTGGGAAAAGGCTGCTTGCTAGTTTTACCTCAGCAAACTCCATTAGTTTGGCTATCTGGGAGAGATGTGGGGTGAGATCCAAAAACAATATTAGACAAGAACCAGATCTACAACAAAATCAAAATGAAGCACTTTGAAGATTAGTTGGCAGAAGAGATGCATTATAAACATTTGCTGGATCCAACCTGGACTGATTCATCTCTTACATGACTGATAGAAAATAGTTTATTACGCTTTCAGGCCAAGGAGTCCCACAAGCTTCAGTCCTCGGACCTCTGCTGTTAATTATTTATATACTTGCCCTTCATCATTTGATACGTCACGTTAAACTGGACTTTCACTGGTAAGTGGGTGATGCCCAGATATACACTATATGGCCAAAAGTATGTGGACGAAGTCAATTTCCTGTTCACGAATCACTGAAAAGATGTCAGCACCAAACAACACTTCAACTGAAAAAAGTAAAATACATTCAAGAAAGGTGTAAAACTTCAGTTTGCCTCCCATTTTTCACCAATTTCACTCTCTATTGTTCAGTGCTGCATGTATGCACACGCCCTTGACCATGATTTTTAGGGGGAAGGTGAATTTGAGGAGGAACTGAATGGATGCATTTGGGTAAGATATTCCCTGAGGTTGCTAGTGCTGGAATAGTAGTCTAACTGTAGCTTACATAGCCTACATACAACTTTATCTCAAAGTATCTTTTCAGAATTTAATGTATTTTTTTTTTTTTTACAATTTGATTATATGATCAAATTTAGAATATTCGTTGACAGCCCTAGTACCTAATGTAATATATCAGATAGAAGCATATAATGCAACATATTATGCATATGTGACTCACCAGGGGGGTTCCAGAGTGGCTGTGACCACACCCCAGACCCACTCCTTGACTGCGCCATGGCCATGACAGAACAAAGTCAATACCAGCAATACCAAAGCTAGCTGCTTGCCGTGTTCTGTAGATTTGCATAAATAAGTTTCAATTCAACTTACAGCCTGCTTCATAAAATACATAAGCACATATCTTTTCATGAGATTAAGATTTTCAAATACAATACAAAGCAGTAGGCTTTTCCTTCTTTGCTGGCTTTTCGAGCTGGAGAGGAAGAGTCAGTACTGGCATTGTGTGGTGAAACCTCAGCAAACAAACAAACCTCTTCAATATCCAAAAACCTCTGCTACCTTTTCCATTTGTTGCTTCTGTCTGCTGTGCAAAAATCACAAAAAAACATCATTCAAAAGATGATGTCCATGAACCTGACTGACCTTCTCTGAAGCTGGCAGAAAAATGGCTCCTCATCTAAAATCAGAAGCCCTGTAGTTTTAGACTCTTTTTCCTAATGGCTTTGGTAAATCATGCTAATAAGAAAAGCCCATAGCAAGCAATTAATGTATGATTGTTAAGGTTAGCAGACCAGGCAGACTTTTGAGATGAATTAGTTTACTGCTGCTTTGGTTTAACTAAAAATAAAAGACATTTTTCATGCTATAGACTTACGCAGTGGGTAAAAGTTCTGCTAACTACTAACTACTCATTGTTTTTCAGGCATGAAAAAATGTGCATAATTGCTGTTTCTGCATGTGTTTTTTTCAGAATACAGAAAGGTATAAAATAATTACATTGAAAACATCTACTTGAAATACAGAAAATAATAAAATAAAATTGGCAATGTGTCTAATTGCAGTGTGTCCTTTTACTCCCATAGTATACTTTGCATATCCATTGTTACATGCGATATGGCAACAATAATATTTTATAATTTCATATAAACCTCAAAGCATCTAAACTGTTGTATTTATGAAAAAAAAGATTGTAACTTCAGAGAGATTATGTTTCAATTGTCATATAGAAATATTGTATTAAATATGAATTATTTTATCATTTATTAACATTATTTTAGAACACTTCAGATACTAGCCCTCACCATGTGGCTTCTATGTCAAAAAAGAAGTGCAGACGCCATTAGAATGGCAAAAGAAAACAGTTTACAATTTACAATATATAAAAATACTCAAAGATTTTAGCAAAAAAGGAAAATATATTTTATACTTTAGTTAAAAAGAAAGTCATTGTTGCCATATGGCAATATCATGCAGTAAAGGATTAACATCACCCTCAGGTGTTTCATTTAACATTACTAAACTGCATTAGTCTACATTATTGACTGACCTGTAATGCATCTGATTCTTTAATCTCTAGTCTGTTATGTAGGGCTGTCATGATTACTCACCTAAACATGATTATTGGTTAAAAAATAACTGATTCAAATTTACCTTCTTGATAAGTCAATAATGACTAGTTGGCAGTT